CTCTCTGCAGAACCACAACAGCAAAGATGAGGACAGAGCCAGGCACAGCCCACCCTGCCCACACATCAGAGGGACAGGGCCAGGCACACCCACCCACCATATATAAGCATCGGACAGGGCCAGACACAACCACCCACCACGTGTGCAGGCAAAACAATGGCACTGGGTAGAAAGTTTCATTCTTTTTCTTTCTCTTTTTTTTTTTTTTTTTGAGATGGTCACCCAGGCTGGAGTACAGTGGTACAATCTCGGGTCACTGCAACCTCTGCCTCCTGGATTCAAGCGAATTCTCCTGTCTCAGCCTCCTGAGTAGCTGGAACTACAGGCGTCGCCACCACACCCAGCTAGCTTTTTTGTATTTTTCTTTTTTTTTTTTTTAGTAGAGATGAGGTTTCACCATGTTGATCAGGCTGGTCTCGAACTCCCGACCTCAGGTGATCCACCTGCCTCAGCCTCCCAAAGCGCTGGGATTACAGGCGTGAGCACCACGCCCGGTTCTGACTTTTTTTTTTTTTTTTTTTTGTTGAGAGGAGTCCGCGCTGTCCCCAGGCTGGAGTGCAGTGGCCGGATCTCAAGTCACTGCAAGCTCCGCCTCCCGGGTTTACGCCATTCTGCTGCCTCAGCCTCCAGAGGTAGCGGGACTACAGGCGCCTTCCACCTCCCAGGCTATTTTTTTTTGTTTTTTAGTAGAGACGGGGTTTTTTACTGTGTTAGCCAGGATGGTCTCGATCTCCTGACCTCGTGATCCGCCCATCTCGGCCTCCCAAAGTGCTGGGATTACAGGCTTGAGCCACCGCGCCACGCACAGCCTGCTCTTCCCAGAAAAAAACGATGCGGAAGCCCAGCGTCCCCAGCCGGGCGGGCCTTACCCTGGATCAGCTGCCGCTCCTCCTGGATCAGCTGCTCGCACAGCAGCCAGTGCTGGTGGTAGCGCTGGATCACAAAGTCCTTCTGGCACAGCCGGTTCTTGCGGCACAGGTTGTCGGCCTGCAGCTCCGTGTTCACCTCCAGCTCGTGCGCCCTGCACAGCAGCCGCAGCACCTCCTGCTGGTCCTCGCTGGTGACCCGCCTGGGCAGCAGCCTCTCCATCTGTGACGTCTTCCTCTTCGCGTGCTCCAGCCCAGCCTGTGGGGAAACCCAGAGCTTGGGGAGGATGCGGCCATGTCTGCTGCTTCTTATGGCCCCCGTTTATAGCGCTCAGGAAAGCAGGCGGGTGATCGGCTCTGAACATGTGTTGCTAACACCATCTGCCTTCCCATGCTCTGACATCTGGGACCTCCACCTTGGAGGCACTGCCCCTCCCAGAGACAGCCAATTCCTAGAGATGGTAAATGACACACTGGCCAGCACACCTTTCATCTACAAACCAACCAACCAAGAGCACGCTCCCCACCACCTCCTTCGTGGGGCTCTTGCACTCTGCCACCATCTGCCTGTCCTCGTCACCAAGGGCCAGGTACCAGATAACCAGGGACAGCCCCCAGGCCCCGGAGCCTGCTGAAATTACCCGAACAGCCAACCTTAAGCCCGTTTATCCTGCCTCAGCTGTTTCTTCCCACGGAAATAACAACACAGGCTCAGAGCCACCTTTCCCCTGCTACAGAAAACCAGCGCTGGCCTGGCACGGTGGCCCAGGCCTATAATCCCGACACTTTGGGAGGCTGAGGTGGGCAGATTGCTTGAGCCCAGGAGTTCGACACCAGTCTGGGCAACATGGTGAGACCCCCACCTCTGTCTCTACAAAAAATAAAAAAAAGGCCGGGCGCGGTGGCTCACGCCTGTAATCCCAGCACTTTGGGAGGCCGAGACGGGCGGATCACGAGGTCAGGAGATCGAGACCATCCTGGCTAACACGGTGAAACCCCGTCTCTACTAAAAATACAAAAAGTTAGCCGGGCCTGGTGGCGGGCACCTGTAGTCCCAGCTACTCAGGAGGCTGAGGCAGGAGAGTGGCGTGAACCCGGGAGGCGGAGCTTGCAGTGAGCCGAGATTGCGCCACTGCACTCTAGCCTGGGCGACAGAGCAAGACTCCGTCTCAAAAAAATAAATAAAAAATAAATAAATAAAAAAATAAGAATAAGAATAAAAAATTAGCTGGGGGGGAGTGGTGGCGTCTGTGGTCCGCAGCTACGGTTGGGGAGGCTGAGGTGGGGGCAGATCGTATAAGCCAGGGAGGGGTCGGGCTGCGGGGTGCAGTGAAGGTGATGATTCCAGGTATTGCACTCTAGCCCTGGAGGGTGACAGGGAAGCGTGTGGTGAGAGGAAAGAAAGGAGAGAGACGAGAAGAGAGAAGAGGCAGACGGACGGTGACGCTGGAGTCAGGGAGTGCGGGAAGAGGCCGAGGGTGCCAACACATGGTGAAACTTTGTCTTTTACCTGAAGAATACAGAAAAGATGGAGACTGGTGTGAGTGGTGATTGTGAGAGAGACGGGTGTTCACCGGGTGTGAGTAGCCAGAGCGTCGTCGGGCGCGGGGATGCTCGGCGGAGCCTTC